TGTGTGTGTGTGTGTGTGCGTGCGTGTGTGCTCTGCTTGTTTGTTTGTTTGTTTTTTTATCAGTTTCTGCCATTTTCAGATTCAATTAAGGGCAGTCAAAAAGGATGTTATAGACTATAGACCCATCTCCTCAGAAAGGAATCTTTTCAATGATGGCTTTGAATGTTACAGAAAAGATGACGAAGAAGATATCCCCCAAAATGACCCATCTGCCACAACCAAAGTCACCCAGAACATGGCTTCTGCTTGAGCCTCTTCTGGCTTGGCCCAATCTCTCCTTTCTCTAGCTCACAAAGGGGAACACTGTGGCATGCCAAACCAAAACCATTGCATCCTAGTGATTAAGATTCCACCTCCCCAGAGATGAGGACTGATACCATACCTGTAGTATGCACTGCCATGGAGCCACCAAGCTAGTTCCAAACTGTCTCTTATGTGCCAACTTTCTTTATTGCTACCCTCTAAGGCAGTGGTTCTCAAGCTTTCTAATGCTGTAACCCTTTAATACAGTTTCTCATTCTGTGGTGACCCCAGTCATAAAATTATTTTTGTGAGTACTTCATAATTGTAATTTTGCTGCTATTACAAATCATAATGTAAATATCTGTGTTTTCTGATGGTCTTAGGGGACCTCTGTGAAAAGGCCATTCAATCCCCAAAGAGTCGAAACCCACAGGGTGAGAACCATTGCTCTGAGGGATGAAATTCTCATAGTACCATTCTCTCTCCTTTGGGATCCCACAGGACTAAGCAATCACAAATGAGGCCATGTAGGAGAGGATCTTCACAAACCCACAAGTGTGAACTTGGTCTAGGACATAAGGATCTGGACATCCAGACTTAATGCTGTGCAATTACTGCTGTGAATGCCAGAAGTTCATATTAAAAATTTGAAAATGTCAAAGTTCAGTTGCCGGTGAGAAGACATACTGGTGAGAATGTTAAGACAAGAGGAAGCAAAGCATTGCCCACCAAGTTCTTCAAAGGAAAACTCCCACCAATGCTCAACAGGGAATTAAGAAAGGAGGCTCAGGTGGAGGATCCAAAATGGAATTGTGACAAACTTTAGAAAAGTCTAATGAAAAAAAAAAGTTAAAGAAGTCATCTTAAGCTGAAAAGAAGCTAGGTCAAGGCCTTGGAAACTCATTTAGCATTTTATTAGCCCTGAATACCAAAGACCTACAGCAAATCAGGCAGAAGCCATCTAGGGGTTCCCTGTTTCAGAGTCCTGGGGTGGTGATGTGCCCATTAACACAAAGACACTCTTTGTTCAGACTTACATCTTCAAACTTAAGCAAGAACACAGCAGCATCCTTTCATCCCATCTGTACCTTCTCTACATGAAAATTAGCAGTTCAATTTAAAAACACACACATACAACTTAAAGATCCTCAAAAGAGTCAAAGGCAGATGATGCTGAAAAGAACAGCTTTGCAGTGGAGGAAACTGACAAGCCCTGCCCCAGCCCAGTGATCAAAGCCAACATCAGCAGAGGTGCACCATGTGGGTGGAAGATGCCCTTGATATGACATGGTATGATATGACAGAATGTTGCATGAGCCATCTTCCTCCTCAAAACCTGTACTATGGGGTTAGGGAGATAGCTCAATAAGTAAAGTGCTTGCCATACAAGCACAGGGATATAAGTTCAATTCCCCAGAACTCATGTAAAAATGCTGGAGGTAGTGTCACCTGTTTGTAATCCTAATTTTGGGATAATAGAGAAAGGTCAATACTTAGGGTACATCAGACAGTTCATCTAATGTAACCAGGCCAGTGAGAGGCCCTGTCTCAAAAAACAAGGTGGAGGCTGAAGATATGGTATAGCTGTTAAGAGCACTTGCATATGCCTGGGTTCTATTCCTAGAACCCACATAACAGCACACAACCATCTGTGACTCTAGTTCCAGAGGTTATGACCCCCTCTTCTGATCTTCATAGGCACTGCACACACATGATGCATGTACATACATGCAGGCAAAACATCCATCCATACATAGTAAGCATAAGTAAAATTAAAAAACAAGGTGGATGGATCTTAAGAAATGATACTTCTGTCCTCCATGCACATGAACCCACACACATATCCACAATTACACACACACACATACACACACACACACACACACACACACACACACCATACATAACTCAATCTCATCATAAGCTACATCTGCCAAAGATACATCCTACAATGTTCCTGACCAGGTCTCTTCAAAACAGCTAAGTATCATAAAACACCAGGACAATCTGAGACACTACACCTCAAGCAGAAAGAACCCAAGAAGACATGCCAGCTAAATGCACCGTGGGTTCCTACATGGGCTCAGAGATAGGAAAAGCACACTACGTAAAAGTCAACGAAGCATGAATAAGGTCGAACCTAACTTGATGTTATGGTGATATTATTATCCTTGTATGTGAGTTACAAGAAATATGCATATGATGCTTATGTAAGAAGTGGGGAGATGGGAATAAATGTAGGGTAACTGGGAAGCATTTGTATGAGTTTCTTAATGTTTCTATGAATGTAAAAACTGTTATAAAATATACCCCAATCATAGAACTTTTTATAATCTAATCTGAATCTTGCAGGGATAATTTTCTGAAAGAGCTTGGTATGTATAAGAAGGCTTGGACGCAGGCAGACATCACTGAGGGCTCCAGATCCCAGACAGCTGTAATGTTTGCTGGTCACTTCTCCTACAACACTGACATGTATTCAGAAGGAAGAGGAAATGGTAATGCTGTAGTTAAGCGCAGAGGGGTGCATTGACAAGGCTTTCTAGAGTTTGGGAAGGCAGAGGGATGGGAATTAGAATCCCCTTCCAGGGACTCTAGGGCACGCTAGAGAGTAGAAAAACAAGAGGTCGAACAGAAAACAAACTTTTATTGGCCTTTATTTAGCCTATAAGATAGTAAAGAAGTAAAGGGAGACTTGCCACTTGGTTTTGGGACCTTCATGGTACATTGACAAAATAGTACTGAAACAACCCGGGCACAGGTGAGTGAGAAACACCCACATGCACCTTTGACCTGGGATGGAGCTCAATGGTTGTGTGCTTGCCTAGCATGTACAGGGCCCTCTGTCCAAACACTAGTATTGCCAAAACCAGAAGAGATCCCATATATATATATGACCTTGGGGAAGAAATATGAATTTCCTGAGGCTCAAATCCTTTATGACTCACTTGAGGCTGGGCACCATCATTCACCAAGAGGACTGGCAGAATAGCATGAGGTGACAGTTGGAGAAGGGGACCTAGATGCCCTGAGGTCATGGATGTGGAAGGGGTCCCTGATGCCCTTCAGTTTGGCAGATTGCTCTTTCAGATAAGTGTTTGGAAAGAAGCCAAATGCTCCTGCTGGTTTTCTTTGAGCCACTGGCACTAGGAATTCATTATGTTTCTCTTCTTTATGTTCATTCAGACCTGATTTTTCTGTAATCAGCACATATTATTTTTATTATGGAGAAAAAAACAAATGGAAAAATATCTATCATCTGGGCTCCTGATGACAAGCCCCACAATCCTCCTGGCACCACCAGGCACAGCCTCGAGCATGAGAAGACAGAGCCCATTTAGATACAAGAGCAATCAAATTCTGTGGAGCAATCACAGTTCTGCAGAGATGTTTTGGATGTCAATTTGAAATGCAGAAAAAGATATCCATTGCTTCCAATAAAGGTTGCAGATGGATTCATGCCCCAAATCCACGTTGTCTCCACTGCACACAAATGTAGCTTGCTGGGCCTCATGAGTCTCTCGTCTGTGAGAAGGAAGAGAATGCAAAGGTGGAGGCTCATACAAGCCCCATATGGCAAATGATGGGACTAGAGGGTTGTATAGGTTTTTCTCATAGTTGCCCAGAAATAAATATCAGGATTAACTGCAAAAGCAGAGCTGACTCCATTTCAAATGCCATCATCCCACTGCCTCTTGGAAGAAGAGAAGCTGTTCACTTGTAACAGTCTGTGGAAGGTGGGAGAGGGTACGGAACAAAGGATGTCAGAACTCTTCCGAACCTACTTTGTAGGAAGTAACTCAGTGACAAAAATGGAACATCAGCATCAACATTTATAGCCCAGAAAGGATTTTTAGACATTAATAGCAGAAAGACATGAGTAGGTATTTGTGGATTCTAGTGTATTCTACTTTAAGGCATTAAATTAGTGGCTCTCAACCTTCCTAATGCTGCAACCCTTTAATGCAGCTCTTCACATTCTGGTGACCCCCCTCCTCACAAAACTATTTTCATTGCTAGTTTGTAACTGTACTGTTGCTACTATTATGAATCATAATGTAAATATGTGTTTACTGAAGGTCTTAGATGACCCCTGTGAAAGGATTGTACAACTCCCATGGGGATCACAACCTACAGTTTAAGAAACACTGCATTTAATGAATTAAACAGTAACGAGAAAGTCACTATATAGCTACAAGAAGGTCTATCTCTAAGACTGTTCCTTAACATCTTTATTCTATATAAGGATGCTATCTAACATCCTTCCTCCAAGTAAGAATGCTCCTAACATCCTTGGTCCATTCAAGAGTGTTCCCTCACATCCTTCCTCCTACTAAGAATACCCCTAATATCTTTGTTAGGGCTTAATGAATCTTAGATTTTCTCCATCTAAGAGTGTTCTCCAACAACCCTGGACCATCTAAGGGTACTATACTTAACATCCTTGCTCTACCATCAGGCATCTTATACTACATTTGCCAAACCCATGCATGCTTCAGGAAAACCTAATGATGTCATATTTGCCTGCTCTGACAAGATCTTGTCTTCTACTCTTTAAAATGTGATATTAGACGGTGTGTGTGTGTATGTGTGTGTGTATGCTTGTTCAGGAAGGTGATTGTGCATGTGTGCACATGTACACATATGTATGGAAACCGTAGGTCAACTATGGATGCTGTTCCACCGGGGATCATCTTGCTTTTTGAGGTAGGATCTCTTATTGGCTTAGGGCTCAGTCAGCTAGCCTGACTCCAGAGCCATAAGGGTCTGATTGAGGTTTTAAACCTCTCTGGTGCCAGACTTACAAGTGTGCCCTCACCTTGGCATTTTTTACATAGGTTCTAGGTGTTGAAACCAGGTCCCTATGCTAGTGTGCTGTAGTAGTTGCTATGATAGAACACTATAATCAAGGCAGAGTGTAGAAGGGTTTATTTTGGCTTGTGGATCCAGAGGGAGCATTTGTAATGGCATGGCAACAGAAGCGGTAAGCTGGCTGAGCATATCTCATCTGCACATAGGAAGCAGAGAGAGGGAACAGAAAGTGGGGAGAAGGTTATAAATGCCTCAACTGATGTACTTCTTCCAGCAAGGATCCAGCTCCCAAAGGTTCCACGAATGACGCCACCAACTTGAAACCAAGTGTTCATACAATGAGCTT